ATACAAAGAACAAATATGCACCCTAAAAAATTATGTTATTTTGTATGCAGAAGTTTTGACCAAAGCAGCATCAGAAGTTAAGCCATAAGAGCTACACGCTGAAGCAATCAGAACATGCGCTGAAGATTGATGACCAGAACCTGTGCTTAAGTGAAGTAAAATCTGATTCTGAACAAGAACATAATAATCCAAGTCATCAATATTTTGAAGTGTCAGCAGCAGGCAAGGATGTAAGATTCTGAAGCGTTACTGATCATTCAAGACATCATCAATTACAACGGCTTCTTTTAGACAGGATCTTCTCAAAATGGAAACTGAGTTAATGACATTAAACACGCTTGATGATCAACGTAAATCCATTGCATATATAAACAAGCTCAGTGTTCAAATCGTTTATGATTTGCCATTACTATTCACAAGCATTCAAAAAGCTGCAAGCATTATTCATTATCTTTCCACGCTATAATTTTGTGTGAATTATCACAATTGTGATAACAGTTTTTGTAACGAAAAACAACAACACATTCTTGTATCTTTGTTTTAAAACAATGTTCCTTGAGATTAACCGGATTATGGTTGTACTCAAGAATACTTTAACATTTGTTAAAGTAGTGACTGTAATCCCTTTGTGATTAGTGAATTAAGACCTCATTGGAGAGAGGCGAAATCACCTTGACGGGTGGACTGGAGTAGTTTGAGATCAAACGAACCAGGATAAAAATACGGTGTCATTGTGCTTTTGATTTCAAGTTCTCAATTCAACCCCCCTTCTTGTGTTTTTCACTTCTTCAGATAAGTCAAGTCAAATGATTCTAGTTGGATATCATTCGACATGAGGCTACAAGTTGTTAGATCCAGTGAAAAAGAAGATTGTGATCAGCAGGGACGTGATCATAGATGAGTTTAAAGAATGGGATTGGACTGAAAATGTCAAGAAAGATTCAGTGGGAATCCTATTCGAAGAACCAGAAACTAAAGTCGAAAGAGAAGTTCGACAAGAGGAACCAACAGATATACCAAGTACAAGCAGACCTCAAAGAACAAGACGCATGCATGCAATATTACAAGATTGTGTGATTACATCAGATGATGCGATAGATGATGAAGGTGAGCTGGTACATTATGCTTTCTATGCAGATGTAGAATTCGTTAATGCAGTTGAAGCATTGAAGGATTAGAAGTGGGTGAAAGCAATGAACGAAGAAGTGAAGCCTATCGAAGACAACAACACTTGGTCACTTGTCGAATTGCCTCAAGGCAAGAAGGCAATTGATGTCAAGTGGGTATACAAAGTGAAAACGAATTCGAAAGGGGAAGTAACTCGACACAAAGCCAGGCTTGTGGCGAAAGGATTTCTACAGAAAGAAGGAATAAACTTTGATGAAGTTTTTTCACCTGTTGCTAGGATCGAAACAATCAGGTTGGTTGTTGGTCTAGCAGAAATAAACAGTTAGCACATATGTCAGATGGACGTGAAGTGTGCATTCCTAAATGGACTATTAGATGAAGAAGTCTATGTTAAACAACCAGTTGGGTTTGTGAAACATGACGAAGAAAGAAAGGTGTAAAGCCCTGTATGGATTGAAACAAGATCCAAGGGCTTGGAATAAGAAAATTGATAGTTTCATAAGGGAGAAGGAATTTGTGAAGTGCACAACTGAACATGGAGTATATGTAAGAAGAAGCAAGAGTAAATTGCTTATACTATGTCTCTATGTAGATGATTTGTTGATAACAGGTAGCTGTAAGAGTGAAATCGAAGACTTCAAAGGTGATCTCAGCAAGGAATTCGAAATGTCTGATTTGGGTGAGATTTCATATTTCCTTGGTATCGAATTCTACAAGAGAAGTAGAGGTGTGATGATGCATCAAAGAAGATATACAGGAGAAATTCTCAAGAGATTTGAGATGGAAGAATGCAACCCAACTTCGACACCTGCAGAACCAAGACTGCAACTGTCGAAAGATGCAGATGAAGATGATGTTGATCCAACCCAATACAGAAGACTTATTGGATCATTAAGATATCTTTGTCATACAAGGCCGGACTTAGCATACATTGTAGGTATGGTAAGTAGATTCGTGCAGAAGTCAAAGGTATCACATCTAGCAGCAGTAAAAAGGATACTGAGGTATCTCAAAGGAACTTTCAATTATAGCATTTTGTTTCCTGCAACTGATAAAGGAAAAGAATACAAGTTAGTGGGACACACTGATTCGAGTTGGTGTAGTGATGCTAAAGATTGAAAATCAACAGTAGGATATGTGTTTATGCTAGGTGGTGCACCAGTTTCTTGGAATTCAAGAAAGGAACTAGTAGTGGCATTATCATCATGCGAAGCAGAATACATAGCTGCTTCTCTTTGTGCATGTCAAGCAACTTGGATGGTGAACTTGGTCGAAGAGATAACAGGGAAAGATCATGGAGCAATTACCATGAAGATCGACAACATGTCAGCTATTAATCTGGCAAAGAACCCAATAGCACATAGTCGAAGTAAGCACATCAAAATGAGGTTTCATTATCTTCGAGAGTAGGTAGCAGATGGGAAGATGAATTTGGGGCACTGCAGAACTGAAAATCAGATTGTAGAAGTCATGACAAAGGGAGTGCAAGTCGAAGTATTCAAAAATCTAAGAGCCATGATGAACATAGATAGTTTAGACACAATGAATTAGATGGTGTGTTAAATTGTAATTCAGTGTGTCAAAACTATGTGTCGAAAAGATTTGATTTGTTTTAGATTTAAATAGATTTGATTTAAGTCTAGAATATATTAGATTTGATTTAATAACAAAATAGATATTTTGGGCTCTGGGCTTAGGGTGTAAGCTCAGTTAGAAATAGAGGGAGTAACCCCTATTTTTGTAAGCAAGTCAAGCAAGTCATTCACAGTATTTTGCAGTTGCAAAGTGAATAATAAAGTTTTCACAGTTTGTGAGCAGAGAGAAATTCTGCAGAAATTATTTGTCTTGTCTTCTTTTCTTTATTTTTCTCATAACTAATCGTCATTGTGATAGAAATTCACCATAGACTTTGGTGAGTTTCCAACACGCACGAGTCTTCTACTAATTAAACTATACAATTTTATAGGATTTTAAATAGAGTAAAAAATAATATTAAAAATCAAAATATAAAATAAATTTATAATATTTAATTTGTAAATTGAAAATTAAAGAAATTGATAAGTTTTCTTTCATTTTAATGTTATTTCATCCTTTATAAAAATGTTATATATATATATATATATATATATATATATATATATATATATATATATATATATATATATATATATATATATATATATATATATATATATATATATATATATATATATATATACACGCGCGCGCGCGCGATGCTGTTGGTATAAAATAATTTTATACCATCATTTGATAGAATTATAATATTCAATTATATCATGTCAATATTTTAAAATTAAAAATGTAATTTGGTGGAATACACGTCTCTGATTAATTGACCGATAATATGAGTAAAATATATAATAAAAATAAAATTTTATATTTATTTTTTACTTATTTATCTATAATAGGACAGAAAATCCATTATAAATAGGGATATCAACGTGCTCCATTAGCGGGAATCCCTATGGAAATTTTTCGTTCGGGGTCTCAAAGACGGAGAATTTTTCTCTCATGGAGACGGAGATGAGGAACAAAGTCTTCTCGAAATCACTTCGGAGACGGGGTGGCGTAAATATTCTTCGCTCCGTAGAGTCCCCGTCCCACCTAGAATACCATAATAAACATAATTTATATATAACTTTAAATTTGTATGTTTGTTTATTTGTCATTTCATATCATTTATCTTATAAACAAATTTAAAATATAAATGTATTTTAGTAAAAGAGTGAGATATAAATAACTATTTAAACTTTTTAAATTTGAAATTTTGGTGATTATGACACTCAATATTATATATTAAATATTGTTAAAATAATATATTTAACATAAAAGAATAATTTCTAAATTTTACTGTGATTAATTTTTGAAATTTTACTATTAATTTAATTTAAAATAATATATATAAAAAATCATATTTATAAATCTTCATATAAAGATGAAAAATGTATCCTTCACCCCCACTCCACCTTACCCCCACTCCACCCCATTACATTCCTAACTAAAACTCATTTCACGTATATATTATTTAATATCTATTTTTATTATTATAATATTTCTACTTTTAATATTCCAACAAGAGGTATATGGTCTAGATCATATTAGACAAACAATATTAGATATATTGTCCTAGTCCCATACTAGATTCCATGAATATTGTTATAACTCATTCGGTCCAATTTTCATTTTTTGAGATTATAGTTTACTTTAGACTTTGGAGTTTGTAAATGATTTAGTTGTTCATGTTCGTTCAAGCATGCATAAGGACATATTAACATGCCTATATGCACAATTGCTAAAAGAAGTATAGTTATTTCTAAGGCATTATGTAAACTTAATTTATTATATGTAAATTAAAGCTATATTTTTTATTGCACCGTTTTATTAAGAAATGTATCTAGAATATAAAAAGATATTTCAATAACTTTACTCATTATGTAAAATATATATATTATATATTTAGTCTGCAATGAAAAACAAATCAGTATTTCTACTTTTAAAATAATAAAACAGTTAGAGTTAATTACATACATAGATGAAATAGTGCATCTAAGATAATACTCCCTCCGGTCCTTTTTATAAGGAACACTTTGTAAAAAAAAAATTGGTCCTTTTTATAAGAAACACTCTTTAAATTTAAATTTTATTAAATACATAATTCCATTTCTACCCTTATTAAATAAAATTAGATAACACTTTTCAATGTAAGTGCATTAGTTACATAAACATACTCTCCATGCAAAAATTTGGAGGGAAAGTTGCAAGCACACAAACAGGCACTACCTAAATTCAATATATTCACGTTTTCTTTTTCTTCACTGTAATATTCTATTGTTTCTCACATTAGCATACACATGGAATCTCATAACTCTAATGAAGATGGATTTAAGTCTTCTGCTGGGAAACGGAAATTTCATATTGATTTGAACAAGTTTCCAGATATTGAAGATTCTTTTGAAGTGGAAAGTGAGACTATTGAACATTCACTTGATTCTACTACAACTGTTGAAGAGATTGTTGAGGAATCTGATATCGAGGGTGAGGATGAAGGTAGACAACCAATCATTAGAAGGAAGATGCAAATATGGAATGAGAAAGATGCAAAAGAAATTACAGAGGTAAATTCTAGAGATGGTTCTCACTCAACTTCTGGTTCCTTGGACATGATTGATAATCTTCATGAACTTAACAAAGATGCAGAGGAAGAACTTAACAAAGATGCAGAGGAAGAAGAACCTTTCAGCCTTGAACGTGAAGCTGTGAAGGATGAGGTTATGAATGTTCTGCGAATTTATTTTCATCGAGTTTAGTTGAAAAGAAATGTTATGGATATTTTGTTTTTGAAATATGGAAATTTTATAGATATTGATAAATCCTTTTCATTTTAGTAATGTTCTTGTGGTACTATGTTATGTCGAACATCGAACAGAATAAAACTTTCACTTTTGATTTACTATGTTAATTTGAACAAAACAAAACTCTCGTTATTTTTATACAAAACGAAATTGAAATGTCAATACGCAACCTCGGCGCCACTGTAACGATAAAATTATACTCCAAGGCAATACATAAAGTCTTATGTTACTGCTACTACAAGTAACTTTGGTAAAGTTTTGTGGAGTTAATTAGTACATTCATATACAACAAAAAAACCACTTGCAAAATTATTCTGTTTAGTTAAATCTTAGGAGGTTACATTTGCATTTGATTTTAGGCTATTTATCCATTGTGTTGTTTTCATGGTCATTTATTTTTTGTTTGAACAAGTTATCTAGTTTGGAGACTTTAAAACATTTTAGTTAAAATTATAGAAAATTCTGAAAGTAGCTCTCAAGAGGCAATATAAATTAAAACAAAGATTCTGAAAGTAGCTCTCAAGTAGCTCTGAAAGTAACAATATAATGAATCAAAACATTTCATTTTCATCCAATCAAAAATTCTGAAAATTACAAAACAAACACCTGATAATTAATCATCAAAACTTTGAAGATATTCAGTGACTTCTTGAATTAACAAAGAATCACAACTTAATTGAGTAGGTATACAACCTTGGTTATACATCATGTCTTTCTTCATGTGAGGAATTTTGTACTTGTTTGATCCCTTGATCTTCATTATCTCAATCATGCATGATTGAAGAGTAGAAAATTTTTTATCAGATTGTTGACAGGAAAAATCATCAAATGCTTTTTGCACCGCATCAATAAGTTCGTCAATTGAATTCACCGCTTCTTGTTGCTGCAAAGACTGTATGGCATTGAAAAAGCCTAAGTCCAATACATTCAAATCCGGTGAATTTGGTGGTTGGCAAGTCATTTGAATGTCAAACCCATCTTCACTTGTTGCTCTACAAAAATCGGGATCATTTGTAGAAATATGTGACCTTGCATTATCTTGCTGAATGTAGATTATCTTCCCTACATCTTCTCTTGGCCACATACTCTTAATGGCTGGTAGGACTTTACTTATTAAGAAAGATTTATTCACCTCTCTTGTAACCGAAGTTATAGGTTTCCTTTCTAATGTCCCTGCTACTCTATTGACACTACTTCTTCTAGCTGGTTGTTCATACACAAATGGAAATATACCAATCTTCCCTGAGAACGTCACATTATTTTCATCGTCAAACCTAGGTCTAGCCACAGCAGCTAAGAACATAAGCTTACCAATAAAGTTCTTGCTTTTGCATGTTCTATATGGCTCTTCATCCGAAAGCAAGTAATAATTGTTTTTGGTTTTGGTAATATAAAACCATTTTTCATCGATGAAAACAATATTATGCATAGAAATAAACTTTGGATCATGAGGCAAGCTGTTACTATCAAGCATATCCTTACAAAACCTTAAACGATTAATCATGTTATCCTCTTTTAAATACGGCTTAAGCGTACTTGAGTGACGTCGTATAACTCCTGACTTTTGCAACCTTATCAATGACGTCTTAGGAATGTTAAGAGCATTAGATAGAGCTCGATAGGTTGATCGTTTTGATAACGGTACTTGACGCATTCTCTCAAAGTCCAATTGGACCCTTTTCCTTCCACACAATGTTTTTCTATGACAAACATTACCTGTGTCCTTTACTTGATTCCATATACGGTAAATGACACTTCTATGAACATTGTATAGTGCAGCTATTCGTGGTATTACTCCATATTTATGTGACTTCCCATCCGGACTCAAACTCAACAGTATATGATATATAGCCTTCCTTTGTTCATTAGTTAGAAATCCCTGTTTTCTTGAATTGATTTCACTTGTCAATGAGTCTGCACAAATGATAAAAATGTGATGGAAGAGTTAAAGAATCAATTAAAGGTGATAATTTTACCTACAAATAGTATAATTTCATGCATGTATTTTCATCCATAAACATGATAATTTGCATATATGTATTTCATGCTACTGTACATAATTTCAACCTACTTTTTATAATTTCATGCTACTCATAATACACTTGTAATTCAAAAAAATACGAAAGAAAATTAAAATAAGAAAAGAAAATAAAATGATAGTGTCACTACTATTATTTGAAATAATTACTCACCATTTTCAATTGAAAAAGAATCATTGTTGCTTGTTTCTTCTTGAATGGAAAAAAATTGATTCATGTTACCTTCATCATTGACATATGGGAAATGAGTTAACTCAAACTCAAATTCAGATGATTCTATATTTGATGGCACATCTTGGTTCATGTTATCTTCAACAATGAGATTTGATGGATGATTTAGCTCAAACTCAAATTGAGGTGTTTCAATATTTGATGGTGCAATAGACTCACATATAGAAGATGATTGTTCTTCTGGAAAAGAGAAAATGATATTTAAGTCTATGTCAAGAGGCATTTTTTAGGATGAATGAAAGTAAATATGGAAAGCTCAATCTCTTTATATAGAGAGTGATTGAAAGTGTAGAGTTTTTGTGATAATGTTTCAAAATTTAACCTTTGAAATTTCAAAAGTTTACTTGCTAAAAATTTGGAGGTAAATTGCTAATATAAAATGGTGGGAAAGCCAAATTAACAAAAGTTTTGTTTTTCTGAAATTAAATCCAACGTGAAGCTTGAGTAGCAATGGAGTAATATGTGTGGTAATTAACATAACTCTTCTTGTGAATAGCAAAAGATATTATTGGAATTAAGCATAGTGGTGTATTGATAATTACAAGAGACAAGAATAATAATGACTATGATTAATATTTGAAGGTTAGTTTTGGAATGAAATAATCATTTTTAAAATTATTAATAAAAGAATTAGCTTCCTTGGTTTGTGTGATTTTTTCAAAGTGTTCCTTATAAAAAGGACCGGAGGGAGTACTAAATTATGTATATAGTATAGTATATACATAACATCATCTAAAAAAAGATTATACTATATATTGTAGACTCCTAAGTTTCATCTCACCAATATATATTGTTAGTAAACTTTCTTGAATAGATTGTCTTTTCATCTGACTTAAAGGCAAATGTATGATATTATATTGACATTTCTTACATCGGTGTAGAATAAAGAATTTTTTTTTAGAATAATCATATATTAAAATAAATTTCGCAAAAAATCACATTTCGGAAAAAATTACACAAATAACCATGTTTCAGATGACTCCCCAAAGGAGAAACCATCTCACTTGGCGCCTCCACCTAGGGTTTTGCCCTAGGCGCCATTTCACGTGGTGCCTCCTCTCTCTTTTAGCCAAGTGAGATGGCGCATGCACTTTAAAAGTGAGAGGAGGCGCCATCTCACTTGACTCCTAGGGCAAAATGTTGTTTTTATAAATAATTCGTCTGTTTCTCCGTCATTTCTCACACTTTCTCGCACTGTTTTCTTATTTTTTACTATGTTATTTGCGTCACGACATCGCCCATGATTTTACCAGAGATGGTTACGTTATCTTCTCCGCCACGAAATCTGCGATGAAAATGAAATTCTGGCACATTCACTCCATGGAGCGTCTAAAGCGGGAGTTGATGCGATGACTAGATGGAGACATTATGGAGGGGGAAAATTCGAAGGATCCAGCGAAGACGAACAACAACCTCACATGCGACTGGAAGACCTAATGTATGGTTGGAGGAAGTCAAAACAGACAGCGACATAATGTTGATGATGCATGGGTCAGATGAAATTGTTTTAACAGTTGTAATTTCTTAGACGGAATATCGTGTTTTTTTTCTTGTACGCGCAATATTTATTGTAGCAAATATTGTTAACGAAAAACCCTAATGTTTACAACATAATTAAGGAAAGATTTTATGCATTACAATTTTTATGTGGTCGAGGCAGACGCCCGATTCGGACAATTTTTGCGACTGTGTCCGACCTGACGACATAAACCACACTTTCTTTCCAGCTTGTCAAGGTCGTCCATTTCGGTTGTGATGCACTTACTTTTGAGACGACCCTTCTTGTTCCTTCGTATTTGGTCATTGTGTCACACTATTTTGCCGTCGTATGCAGGCCAATAATCTGGTTTTGCTACCAAAGGAAAGTTGTTGTTATAAACGTTGAGCAACGTTTCCGATTTGTAAATGTGTGACAGAAGTTGTAGTGCGTCTTGATGGGTATAAGCACAAGCGGCAATGACATGAGAGTAAGGCATACGAAAGGCTTGAAACTTGCCACAATCGCACCAACGAGAAGGTAGTACAACCCTATATTCTTGTCTTGGCAGGCCTTCGTTGTGGTCGATTGTCTCTTTCACAATGAAGTTGTGGCTGTGTCGGTCAAACCGTATAACCATATGAGTGTTGGCTTTGGCACTTTCTGTCTTAATGTACTTCATGCAGCTTTCACTCCATAGTTGTCCAGATTGCAACACCGCATTCCACATTTCACCTCTTTTGGCAAACAACGAAGCCATCCTAAAATACGTAGATTTTACCAAAGCAATGATCAGGAGGTTTCGTATGCCTTTGAATACCCCATTCGTCGATTCAATAAGATTTTTTGTCATGTGCCCCCATCTTTGGCCATTGTTGTATGACCTAGTCCATTTTTCCACCGGAATATTGTCGATCCACCTACCGGCTTCCGGATTTGACAAACGGATCTTGTTGCGGTAATATTTGAACGTGGGTTGTGTCAATGCATATCTCGCATTCATAACCGCTTTCCTTAGTGTTTTGTCCTTGATCTCCCTCGTGAAATTTTGGACGATATGCCTAACGCAATAGACATGCGTAGAAGGAGGGCCATGCCAACCGTTTGTAGGATTATTGTAGGCACTTTCAATGGAGGCATGTCTGTCCGAGATCAAACAGAGATCTGGTTGAGGAGCCACATGTGTTCATAGGTTTTTCAGAAAAAAG